GCCCTGTTGAATTACTTTATTGCAAAATGTTTGGCCATATGTTTCAAGAGGATGGGAGATGGGAAGGCAAATTAATTTAATATTTATTCTAAGATAGTAGTTAACTTTTTTTATACCCTTCTTGCCTTTTAGCAGGTACCTATTTTTTCTGCTTATTACCTTGAGGGTGAGGGGATGGTACCAGCTTTTTCCTGTTCTCCATGTATCAGCCAGCAGGAGATGCTATAATCCATAATGTGGTTTCCCTGCCCCCAAGCCTATTAAATTAGAACAAAGCTTTGCTCAGTTCAAGAATTAGGAATTTCAAAAGCCATGTGTTTCACTGCCCTATTTGGCAGACACAGGCTGAATAAACTTTCCTTGTGGTACAACAGAAAATTTTAATTGCCCTCTCATTGGTTGCCACTTGTGCCCCTTCCCCAATGCTGGTGTTTCCTTCCTTATGCTTTGGATGGTAACATTAACAGCCTGATTGCTTGAAGGTACTATAAGAATGTAATTTAAGTTACTACAGCCTTCACTGAAGAGTTCTCATTCTTCCTTTGTTTCTCTGATAAGAATTTTGCTGTGTTTCACGTATTGCTGTTTCACCCTTGGTTTTTCAAGAAGTCAAGAGTTGGATTTACACCAGTAGAGTATTCCATTAGTTAACAGTACAGCCTATGCCAAAGTATAGGAATTCTCCCTAGAATTTCTTAGCCTTGCCAAACATAAGATTCAGTTGAAAGAGTCTTGTTAAAGACTTTTGATTCCATGTATAAAGGAGTCTGTGGGAGAATTGGAAAAGAATGTTGCATTGTAACAGGTACAACATAATGTGACACAGCTTCATTCTGCTACCTATACCTATCACAAGTGGTACATGAATATAGTTGTAATGTCAATAAAATTAATTATGCTAATCAGTGAGAGAAGCACTTTGCCATGAGGAAGTGTGTCTGGCTTGCAGATATAAATGTCAGCAATGTGCTTCTCGAAATTAAACTAAAACCTGGAAACAGTTAACATCTAGGAATTTGCCTAAGCAGCTATTCTTGTATCAAGACAGACCTCCTGGGAGAATTAAACTTCTTTGCTCTCGTTACTTATGACAAATATTTCCCACTAATTTCAGCAAGCAGTGTCGTCACCAGCTAATGTATAATATATCTCTCACCAGAGTAGCTGTTGGATGCTCCTTTGATTTTCTTATAAGTAATCACAGACCAAACAAATCCTGTGGTTACCTACAGGGTCTGACACTGCACATTTTAGACTTGCACAGCTCATGCAATTAACATTCTTGGAAACAACTATATTGATGACCTCTGTTAATTTTCTTTAAAATTTTGGAGGCCATTGTTTGTAAGTTCAGGGTATGATGTAGATTATCACATCTTAGTTTCATGCAGTTTTCTTAAACAGCCTCTGCAAGGATTAGAGGTCTGTGAAGCTTTCCTAATGAAACCCAAAACCTTTAAAACTCAAGTTGCAAAGCCCCAAACTTAGATCAGTTTCACTCATGGCCATGAACTTTTAAGGGAATCTGGGATACATTTCAAGGAAGTTGCTGTCATGTTTCACTTGACGTGGGCTTGTATGTTATTGAAACTGGAGAACACTAGCTGGTTATATCTGAAGCTTAGAATTTTCCGTAGGGCTTTACATCAGACTTTTGGGCTGAAGTAACTCAAGGGTAAGGACCCAGCTACAGCACACTAGTCAATCTAGTTTACATGACCACTTGGGAGTAGAAAAGCTGTGTACAGTCACTATTAAAAAGAAGATTTCAGAAGATGAAAAAGGCTATTTGACTAGGAGGCTCATTAAAGTTAGCCAGCCATCAAAGAAAATAGATGTTTAGTCCAGCTATAATTTCACAATGTGATTGATTTGCAGTAAATCCAGATTAACAGGCCACTTATAGTGTGGTCCTGATAAAGGAGAATCTTCCATAGATTAAACAGGATGCATATGCTACTGCTTTCCACCCTTGAATAGCAGTGTTCCAAATAAGCAGCAACCTTGGTTCTTGTTTTCATGTGCTCTGAGAAGAAATGTCTAAATTCTGGATTTTTTGTGAGGCTTGGGATAAGGTGTGGTTGGTAAAAGGAATGCCAATTTACTTGAGCATCTCAGAGTCTGTTTCTTAGAAAGGGAGATCAGAGCCCAGCCTAGGCAGAGAACTTGTAAGTCACACTAAAATACTTCATAAAGCCACCACTTCTGGACCAGCATTTCTCTTTCCACTTTTTATTTATGTTCTAGTACTGAAACTGAGGGGCAAGATCAAAAAATAGTATCTAAGTTCACAAAAAAATATTTTAGCAAGATTTATTTTCCTTTCAAATTAGCCCTTTATAAAGGGAAATTATCCAGGGATTTTTGTCAAAAGAATTAAAAATAAGAAAATAATAAAAAAAAAGCCTGGTAATGGGTTTAAGTTACATTTCCTATAGACACAGCCTCCACTCTAGTGGTGGTGTTTGAGGGTCACTCTTCGTCCTGGCTTTGCAGAGATTCTCTGTATTTTTTTCTTTCACTGAAATTCCATAGACAGTAATTAAGGAACTGGAGGCCAGCAAGAGGTCAGCAAGTCTTCGTCAGTGAAAACAGGGATTGTTTGCCATGTACAACACTCCCTTTTTTCCTTGTGGTGAATAGAAGATTTGCTTAGAGCTGATGACTTATGCCTTTCTTGCAAGTTATGCAGCTAGCAAGTAACTGGGGGAATCAATCAGTGAGCAGAAAACAGCTAATTGAGTCCAGCATCACACTTTTTTCTTCTTTACATATTCAGCACTGGAATCGGGGCCAGTTTGGTGTCTGATAATGTAACTCGAGAGAAGAGGCATTTTGTGCACGATTCAGAGCAAATTCAATTCTTAAGAAGAAGTGTCTGCTCCTAAATTTTAGGGTTGCAAAGCTGACAGCGGTTGAGGACTCGGGGGAAAATACTCGAAACTGAGCTTTAGGCCTATAAATGCCGAAGCTGGTAAGTCACTGTGCATGTAGCATGATGGGGAGATGATGTGCCTCCTGTTTCAGAGAGGGAGAAAGAGAAAAGGCTTTTGTAGTTATTCTTAGGCACAGCACAGCATGCATAGCTTTTCTCAGCTTTCCTTTTCCTTTCCTTGGGCTTTTAAGTTCTTTTCTGTTCTGTTTTCCTGTCTGTGACTTTATCCAGGCATCTTTAATAAAAAACTTTTTAAAGTTAGAATGGTTGGGATTTTTGGCAGATGGAAACCCTGTTAGAAAGAAGAAAGGGCACGTGTAGCCACATCTCCTAAAGGGAACAGCAAAGTCTCTTTTAAAACCACATTTACTATAGAGCTTGTAGTTCTGAGGTGAGCTAGCCAGGGCTGGGGGATTTGATGTGATGTGTCTATAAATCTAAATGTGGTTTTTTGCCCCACTTTGCTGAACAAGAATTGTCTGATAGCAAAAAAGAATAGCAGCTTAACTTTAATAAGGTATTAAAATATTTCCTTTTTTCTTAGACAGAAGGTTTCCTAGAGATTTCAGTTTGGGCTGAATTATTACTGGGCATAAAGTGAACTGTAAAATTTTAACATATCTTTAAAAGGCTTCACACAGCTCATGTAAAAGTCATATATGTTTGGGTTTTTTTCTGGAGCTGAAGCAAATTAATCAGTTATGATAGCTTTAACTGGATGTTGTCCTAGTGTTTCTTACACATTTTTACTGGGACATGGCTACCAAGCTTTGCCTGTTTTTAAGGGCTGCTGATATAACCATAAAGTGTTTCCAAACATACTTCTGTAGAAAGCCACCCACTTACTTCTGGTTTACATTTTACCAATTAGTTCTGAGAACACTAATAAATGTTAGTTCTCTCTCTCTCACTCTCCCTTTCTCTCTGTGAAGCACTAATTCAAGGAGGAAGGTTAAGACTGTTATTTCTCTGGCGTGTGAAATGGGCTGGATGTTAGAGAGCAGCAGAGCAAGGCGTGTGCCCTCCCTCCCGAGCAAGTAGTAGCAAAAAGCCTGCGTGAGAAAAGCAGGAGAGAAAGCAAGAAGGGTGCCAGAAGCAGAACTGTAAAGAGCTCCTAGAATGTCAGAGTACATGTGCTAATTCCTATTTGTTCCAGAACATAAAGCTCTTTACTTTGATCTTACATATGAGGTGATGCAAAGCGTGGCCTTTGGAGGTGCAGAAGTAGGAGTTTTCCAAGGTAAAGGGAGGCGAGAGGTGGCAGAGGGGATTTATTTCTTCTGGATTTGAGAGCATCTTCATTGTTTGCGACCACATTTGTTTGCAGCAAAAAGCTGGGCAGTGGGTATGGGCCTTGCCTCTCTGTAGTTTTCCAGCCGTGTGGTACGTGGTGGCTGCAGTCCTCTGCATGCAGTTCTTGGTATTTCCAGATGCAGTTAATATATTCCCTGTTTCCCTGCAGTCCTTCGAGCGGTTGTGCAGCCAAGCTCTCGGAGCTGGCGGGTTTCCTCACCGTGAGAGCATCGCAGATGCGGGATGCACTTGCTCCAAGGCGCGGGGACGCGGCTCCGCCCAGCCAGCCCCGCCGAGGGGCCGAGGGCCGCGCCGGGCCCGGCAGCCCGGCCGAGCCCCGCTCGCTTTCAGCCAGCGCGAGTTCTGTGCCTCGGCTTTGGCAATTCGCTATGGTTTGGGGCTGTGGAGCCAGCTGTCTGCGATCTGATGTAATGTTGCCCTGGTAACCAGAATTGAAACACTGAAGCATTCACCACAGAATTACTACATACAGCATTAGCCAAAGTAATTAAAAGTTGAGCCATATGGGCTTTCGGATGGAAAAATTTGGAGCAGAGGAGATGGAAGTTAAGTTGTTCCTATTTGCAGTACTGCAAATCTGTTTGTTGTCCCCTTGAGGGCACAGGGAGAGGCCTGCCTTGGCTGTGTTCAGGGGGACAGGGATCTGGGGGGGCTCTGGCTGTTTTATCAGCACATGAAGGACACCGAGGTTTGGCCTGGTGGAAGAGCCATGTGCCAGGGGCCAGGAGGCATCGGTGGACAGGGCGCAGCGTAGATTCCTCCAGTTCCAGAGAGCCTGTGGCTGAGCATCTTGCAGACTCAGCCACTCCATAACAGACCATGTTTACCCTTCTGCAGTGCTGCAGCACGCTGCAGTGCCTGTAAAGGGGAAGAGAGCAAGAGGGAGCTGCCAGCTGGCTACATCCAAGCCCTGTGCCAAGGCCTCACTGCTGGAGCTGTCTAGGAAGCCATTTGCCCAAGCTGCCGTACTCTGGGGACATGGGGGTAATATTCCCATCTGAAGTCAGGGACAGGTACCAAAAAAAGCAATTCAGTCACCATGAAAGAAGGGAGGGTAGATTGGGTTGGAGAAGTCAAAGCATGCAAGTTCAATGATTTCCAAATATCTCAGTAATGGCCTGAACACAAATGTAAAGCATTTAGGTTTTCTCTTTAATATTAGCTGTAAAAGACTGTGTTGCTTGAGCTGGAAAATTAAGTTCTGTTTCCCATGTGCCAAAGTGGAAACTTTTGATAATTCCAAGGCCTTTCTTAAAAAGTTGATTCAAAAACAGGAAGTAAGTGATGAATAACCCTTTTTGAAAATGCATTCATTTTCAAGGAATTAGCATTATTTGACAATAAAGTTTCCTGAGCAGCACCACTGATATAGTCACAAATTTTAGGCCTTTTTGCATAAACTTATTGTCCATCCCTTTTCACTGTAGAAGATGTCTCTGTCATATGCTACCTGGTATGATAGGAAGTAGGATTCTGGAGGGAGACTGTCTTTGTCTTTCATCTACTCATAAAGCATGACCTGTTCTCGCGTACCTGCAAAGCATGGGTGATAGAAAGGATCTGTCGCTGCTTGTGGAGGACCCCGGTTCAGAAGGGTGCTAGGAGTCCTGAAGAATTGGGGAAAAGCAGCTGGCACTTAATTGTGATTGGGCTTTATTTATTTTTAAATATGGTGAGCACCCTCTGTACTCACCTTGGGTTTGATTTCAGTACCTTGCGCTGAGGCAGTTTTGACACTTGCTCTTGCTATGGTACTTGTGAATGCAAATGTCAGATGTAAAAGCTCTTTTTTTGTCGTTGTTGAGTCTTCATAACCCTGAGGGGGCACAGTTCCTTTACAGAGCCCACAGTTTCAAAAACATTAGTCTTGCAAACTGAGGGTGTACAAAAAGTAATGATGGAATGCAATCCCCTAACTGCATTTAAAATAAAAATATATTGAGTGCAGAATATGCATGATGGTTGCTTGCCAGGATGCACTTAATGGCCCAAGAAGTCTTGACTGCACTTCTTGATTACAGTCAATAATCCATTCATCATCTTATCTAAATGTGTCTCTCCTGTTTGACATATCACTAAGTTGTCCTAGGCATAATCTCTGAATTAATGCTCACGTTGTTGCTTAATTTACTTCATGTAAACAGCCCTGGTACTCTTTTAAGTCCTGTTTTTCCTAAAGGAAGTTTATTAATTACCTAGCCAGTCTCTAACCACATTAAAGGCATTTGTGCAATTCTTGGATGATAGATTGACCATTCCTACTGCCATATGCGGTCAGTTTAGTATTCTTCTTTATTTTGGAGTAATGCAAAGTTTGTGGGAAACTGGTAATGGACAGTGCCCTTGCAAAAATTTGTTGAAGTGTGCTCTGGTGTGGTTCTGGGGCCCTTGTGAGGTGCATGCCTGGGAGGTAGGCTTTCAGAGCTGCCCTGGCTCTGTCAGGCACTGTGTGTGCCTTTGGAATCATTCCAGTGCAGCTGCTAATTGGTGTCCTGCCCCATGGCATCTGCGTTCAGTACCTCATCCTGATACTTAAGTGCACTACAAAAGTAGAAAGCATTTGTATATTTGGCCTCTCTTATTCATCCTCCAGATAAGCAGACAGCATTTTTACTGGGAAGAGAAGGGGATGGCTTTTTTTGGTTTGTTTGTTTTTACTCAGCTTGCATCTCTTGGGGATCTTTATTTTTAAAAGTTTAATTAAGGAGAAGGAGAAAAAAGGATGAGCACACTGTAGAAACCCAGATAGCTGCACTGACAGGAAGTTGCATGAAGGGTTTTAGAGCTGACCATTAGGAATGCTGTGAATTGGCTGGGACTATGAGTGCACAGTAAGGTATATGATCCATACCGCACTCCAGCTGGAGCCTGTGCTGTGCGCAGGAATGTGCAGCAGCGCAGGATGCCAGGGCTGTCCTGGCCAAGCCGGAGAGCCCTGCTGGCCTCCTCTCCTCTCCCCTTCCCTGCCCTTCCCCCCGCCGCCTTCCACATTCTGAACTGATTAAAACAGAGGAAGTAGCACGTTGAACATTGGATCTGGCTCGAAAATCGAAGTTGTCTTCTCGTTCACAAGGAATGGATTGTTTCAGCTTGTTGTGTCACTGCTGCTGGAGAGAAGGGAATGTTTTTTTGTCTCTGTAATGTTTGATACTTGAGGGAAAACAGCTGGAACTGAGCATACTGGATCAGATGCAAAACGAAACGGGATGCTGGGGAATATGGACTGCACTGTATATCTGAAAAGGTCAGAGTTTTCCCTTGGTCAGTGCTGGAGGAATGCTCTGTCCATCTTAATTCGAGCCTCAAGAGCCTTAAGGAGGAGTGAAAGGAACAGGGAGGAGGAAGGGAAGATTCTGTAGCTGTGGCAGTCTGTGAGTGAGGCAGATGAGGTCTCCTCCTTCCTTTCCTTCCCATCCCTTTCTTGTGCTGCTGTTTTTGATTTTCTGGGAAGACTGGGGGGGGGAAAAGAGAAGTCGTCAGTGACAGCTTCAGTTTGGAAAAGCTGTTTATAACCAGGTTTAAATAGCGAGTTCTGAGATGCCAGACAGACCAGGGACTGACTAAACCACGGAAGCATAACTGGTATGGTAAGAAGAACCCTGGAAAAGAGCCCTGCCTGAAACATACTGGAAGAGGACGTGGAAGTAGTTATTACACAATGCATATGAAGAAAGACAAGGGCAGGAATGCATTTCGGTGCCTAGGATCTTACGTTGCACAGATTTAGAAATCAAAATGGTATGTCATGCTTTCTGGAAAAGAAAAAGAAAAAAAAAAGAAAACAAGAAAACCCTCAGTAATTTAAACGTTTCTGTCTGACCCGAGCTGAAAATATAACACCAATTACAGAGCTGCATTGACACAACGCAGCAGATGAGCTGGGTTAACTTGACTTGAAGGAGCAAGCCATGGAATTGCTGCTTTATTAATATTCCCTTTGTTTCTTTGCCAGTCAAGAGAACAATCCGATGATGAAACAGAGGAGTCGGTGAAGTTTAAGAGGTTGCACAAGCTGGTGAATTCTACTCGCAGAGTCAGGAAGAAACTCGTAAGAGTTGAAGAAATGAAAAAACCCAGCACAGAAGGTAAAAAGCAACATGGTTAAAACTGTTTGTGTGAATACATGTTTCTGTTGACAGGGGACAGAAAGTGGAGGGTTGGGGGAGGGAGGGGTGGAGTATTCATAAGCGATGGTAGGAACAACTGCCTTGTCTATTGTGCATGCCTTAAGTTATTGAATTTTTAGGCTCTAGAAGGAGGAAAGTGACAGCCTAGAATGTGGTTACTGCTGATCTGGTATTCTCAGAGCAGTGCTGGAGAGCCCCTCATTAAGAGATTAGAAGTTGGCTTATGTTTTATGCCCCATGATGGGGAGGGAACAAGCCTAGGAGCAATCCCAGCCAGCTGCCCCACAAGCTCACCAAGGAGGTAAGTGGAGCTATTACCACACTGCTCCCTCCTCCCAGGCCCTGGGTGGCACACAGGTGAAGCTCCTGCTCATTTTGGGAGGGTAGCAGCTGGCTGGTGGTGCAATTGAACCACATGGCATCACCCTGTGGCAAAAATACAGAACCCCTATCAGACAGTTTTGTGGGATAGAGGCTGCATCGTGACTTCTACTTCCAGAGGTTCCTGTCTGCAGTTTGGCTTCTGAATGAGCCCTGTTCCCTACAGAAAGGGGGAGAGAAGGGGAGGAGAAGGGTGGGGAAAGGGAAGCAGAGTTCAGGCCCTGGGAACACGATGCTGCAGAATTAACTCTGGATGACCTGTATGCATGTGTAAGCACTCAGATTAATGGAGCATGATCCTCAGGAGCCTCTCTGCACAGCTATGCTTGAGTCCTCACTGAAATCGTGGGCACCTCTCTATGTTGGTGGCCTTCCCGGCATCATATGTCAATTCCCCTCAGCTCTGCAGTGAGCTGAGCGGCATGATGATTCTTTCCCGGTGCATTTAAGGAGAACACGTGCGTCTTGCGTATGTGGCAGGAAGCTGCTGGCAGATCTGTGATCTAGCCTGTCTCTTCTCCATTATGGTTGGTGTTACTGGCTGGGGTGAAAGGCACAGCCTGTCTAGAGCTCTGGAACGGGCAGCTGTCTCTGTCTGGAAAGGTTTTATCACCTCATATGGTGAGCATAAAGCTTGGATACCTTGGAAACAAAGATGTGGATTTTGAGATGGGACAAACAAAATAGGACTGTTTTTCCACTGCTCTGGGGAAAGTTGGCCCTCAGAGAAGCCTGTCCTACCCTCCTCCTTCTTTCCCCAGGGGTCTAGGAAAAGCTGCAAGGAGCAATCAGGGGGAGGCTCCAGGGATGGGAGCAGAGGAGCTGGCAGCTCAGGGGCTGCTGGGCATGCAGATGCCTTGCTGCAGTTGAACCAGACTTTCTCTTCAGCATGTTATCTATCTGTCTTGCCCTCTGTATCCTTTCTTACAGGATTTTACCCCCTTATTTCCTTTCTACCTCAGTCTTTCACTTAACTGTGCCACTCCTTCCAGCGTTTTTATTTCCTTAGAGTTTTTCCACCCCTGCCCCCTGCAGAAATAGCACTGAACTAGCAATGGTATTAAAAAAAAAAAGTTTGTTCGCCTTCCTTATTATCTGCAACTCTGAGTTTGTACTTTATCTGTCACTCTGGAGTTTTTTTGTAGATTGACTCTTGGGAACAAATTATTGCTAAATAATGACATGGATTAATTCTGCATAACTTCTGTATAACTGGAAGGCCCCCTAAGTAACCAGGTCTACCTTAGCAGTAGATATCTATGACTTTTCTTTCAGGAAATCCGATACCCAGATTTTCATATGGCAAATTAAAACTGCTTCATAAATGTTGTCCATATCAATCTCTTATAATGCAGGTCTGTATTCCCAATTGGATATGTCAGAGGGCTGTGCAAGATCACAAAGAATAGGGTGTTCAGACTTGGGATTCCTGTCTGGCCTTCCTAGTTACCTGCAATTGATGGGATTGGTTTTTGAGCTGTTTGCTATGGTTCCTTGAATCTGTGTTATGAATATGAAGTAATGTGAAATCATAGGTGACTGTGTTTTGGGGAGTTGGCTATAATATTTGATTGAGTAACATCAGTAACATTTAAATAAATTCATTAATGTTCAACAGCCTTTAGTATAGTATAAGAGTAGACTTACTTTGAAAACTGACAGTTTCCTAGAAGAAAGATCCTGCATAATCCTACTCAGAAATTTCTTCGCAAAGTACAGCTTTGATGAATTTCCCTTATGTGTTCCTGTAGATTTTAAAGAAAAGCACACTAGTCTCAGATTCTTCTCCCATATTTCTATTACTGACTCTGTTATCACAATGAATGTACAGTTGGCCGAGCTGATACTCACTAGAATTTGCCAGTATCTGAATCCATATGTATTTTGTCTTAATCTGCTCCTAAGTGAGCCAAATAACTGAAACTTCCTAATTCCTGGGCACCATTCTTACATAGCACTTAAAAATGCATCGCATCTACATCTGTGTCATTATGGCTTTGTGTCATGGACTTGCTCCAAATAACATCTGTTACAGCGCTGACACACAATGCATATTTTACAAGCTGTTTAAAAACATATTTACTTAGTGGACTAAAATTGTTTATCAGTACATACTCAGTCCCAGGAGAATGTCTATTTTCTGTTCAAATTAAGATGTAAAGGGGGAGAAGCGCAAGCTGGACAGTCCAGAGAAAGTGGTGTCAAAACAAGACCCCAGTCTACAGACCTACCCCAATAAATTTCTAAAGAGTGAAAGTTGTATGTTAGATGTGATCCCTTCAATGTCATGATGAGCTTTATCATAGTAAAATAGCATCTTAGGTTTCAACAAATGTATGTCAAATATGTTTTGCCAACAGAGTGAACTGAAGGTAAGGCAGGAATCCTATACAGGCTGCTAATCTGTCATTGTGAAAGGAGTCCCTTGTTATTGAATGAGCCAGTTCAGTAAATGGTCGGTATTTTGGTAACAGTTCAAATTTTACTCTGCTGTAAGACTGTGGAAGCAATCAATAATGAAGTCAAAGTTAGGTCATAAAGACATTTATTTTGGCAAGAAATAACTACAGTCATATTTGTGTGTGTACGTTTGTCTGATACATAGCTAGGAATGCTGTGAAATTTGTAAGGGAGACCGAGGAGGATGTGTACTTTTTTTTTTTTATTCTCACCTTGTTCCTGCATCTAAAACTTGTGCCTATACTTTGCTCAAAAGAAAGCACCAGAGAAAAGTTTCTTATATGATAAATGCTAAAAGGAATTGCAGTTTCAAGTTCTTTATTCCCTTCTCTCCACTCCAAAAAGGAAACCTGTCTATCTGCCCATGTCCAGTTCTTATGTTGCAAAATATTCCTGTGAAATACTTTCTGGAAAAATTTGGTTAAAACTAAGTGTTTCTTTCATTACCAGGACACTGTTGAAATTGGCACATCTGCAGATTGACCTACTTCTTTGTTTTTGCTTCTGCTAAATAAGTTCTGTGTGATTAAAACTGGTGTCTCTTCCCCCATCAAAACCCCAGAACTTTAAATTTCATCCTGGAGTTCAGCTCCATAACTTTCTGCAGCCACAGGAGCGCTAGGTATTGGAAAACTGGACCTGAGAGGTACTTGTTTGGGTTTTAATACCTAGGTGTACTTCTGACCTATTGTAAGCTCACTAGAGCTGAGCATCATATGCAAGTATCAGAAGAAAAACATGAGAAATAGATCCCAGCTCCAGCTTTTAAGGGATTGTTAGTGGGAACATCTGTGGTCTTAGCTGCAGATGAAAGAGAGAAACTTAAAATAATGATGAGTTTACTTTCAGGATGTTGTCTTCTGTTAACTAATCCCAGCATTCTCACTTCACAAATGGAAGGAACTGCTTCAGGTTTATCCACTCAAAAATAACTTCTGAGCAATTTACATCAAATATAGTTTTCTTCCAATTTAAGTGGCTGATATCTTGAATAAATACAGCAAGAGTCTACAGGGAAACATCTTAGAGAATTACGAACAATGACAAGTGTTGTGCTGCTTTTGTCCCCTGTAGGTGTGGAAGAGCACTCGCTTGACAACTCTCCTATACTGGATGACAGATCAGCACTTTACTCTGGAGTTCACAAGAAGCAATTCTACTTTGACAGCTCCTGTGAAAAGCAGCCGGAGGACGACTCGGACTCACTTACTACTTCTCCCTCATCCAGCAGTCTTGATATGTGGGGAGCTAACCGGAAGCTGGTGAAGACCTTCAGCAAAACTGATAGCCGTGGCCTTATCAAGCCTCCCAAGAAACTTGGGACATTTTTCTCTTACCCAGAAGAGGAGAAGTCCCAGAAAGTTTGCCGCTCCTTGACAGATGGGGAAATGAAGAAGAGCCTTGGCTCACTGAGCCATGGGGTAAGTACAGAAAGCATTTGCTTTTATGACAGCAACAGGCACAAGCACCATCTTCTGGTGTCCCTGGAGGAGATTCAGAGTGTAAGGAAGCAGATCCGATTGAAGAAAATGGATACTAACTATTCCTGTTCCAGAGCTTTTCTTTGCCAGCGCCCTGCTAGGAAAGGAGCATCCCCCACAGCTTGCGACCTACAATTACTGCGGCACAAAACGAAAGGGGGTGGAGGTTGTGGCTTCCCAAACAGAAGGCTACGAGGGCGCACCTCTGTCAGCGAGTTCAATATCACCTATGTGGTGGAGAGAAGCCTGTACAGTCACCTCAACCTCTCACAGCTGGTGCGTCCCGTTACTGACAGGACCCTGAGCAAGGCCGACAAGCAGGACCTGAGGAGATGCCTGCTGGAGGAGGATGAGGAGGCCAAGAGGAAGTGGGCTGCCACAGTGGATCGCTGTACTAAAAGGGTTCTCTTGAGAATCCACCAAAAGTCTGTGAGTCAAAGAGTTGCCATGAAGGTGGTCTTCCAGTTTCTGTGAGGTTGCAGTGAACACTTTCTGCTTTGTACTTTTAACTAAAATGCAGTGCTTCTCCTTTCTTTGTCATTAGAAACTCTTAAGCACTGTAATGCAGGTATAAGGGAAGAGCTTGGTAAAATCTTGTCAGAGAAGAGTTTTTTTGAGTCTGACGTTTCTGTCAGAATTCATTCTATACAGAATGACTCCGTGAGAGAGAACAAATATGACAAAATTCTACTTTTTTAATTCACCTAGTGCAGAAATAGAGATCACCAGTGAACAAAGAAGGTTTGAGATTCTACAAATATGTTCTTGGTGATGCTTTGGGAGTCACTATTCTCTACAAGGAGTACCAAGACATGAACAAGATTTTCAGAGTAATAGAGTATTGTTACTCAGCTGTGCTCTATTTCTTCTCAGCTGTCATTGCCTTAAATTGGCCCTTCCCTTCTCAGATTGCATCTCACCAGTTCACTCACCCAATCAGTATTCTCCCTTACATACACAGCTTCAGAAAGAGTTTTGTATTAGGTAGTCACTGCCATCCTGCTTGCTGCTCACCACCACCACCAGAATTGTCACTACTGCTCCTTCTTTCTAGCAGGGAATGAAGGTGGCACCTTCCCTCAGAGTGTTACAGAAAAGGAACAAGAGGTGGCCAAAAGAGGAAATTGTGCTTACAGTGAGAAATTTAAGTGATTTGAACACTCCAGAGGGATCCAAAGCTGTTTCCTGATTATATGACCCAGTTTTGACAGTTCCATTAACCATGATTCTCAGTTTCCTAGGAACTTGCCTTTGGTGCCAGATCTCCAAAGCTAAGCCAGCTAGTCTGTTGTCTAGTTGACAATGTTCCCTACTTTAATGGATGGAAAGAGCAGCGCACCCATAACATTAAGCAAGATATTCCAGTGAACAATACAGTAGAAACAGCTTTTCCTCTTAAATAACAGATTTTTTTTTTTTTTTGGAGAGGTCTCTGCTTAATTTCTTCTGATATAAGGTACAAGAGTGACAGCTGTGGTCTCCTTGAATAGCCTGTTGGAGATGACCAAGTCTTCATGATTCACTTTTTGCTCTTTGGCCACAAAATACTGGGGTTCTTTTCTACCCAATACCATGAATATTCTCTCTTGGCAACTTTACTGTTTCTTCTGCATTGACTGCTTACCCCGCCCCTCACAGGATATTGTTTATTGCTACAGACACTGTACTCAGAATATGTTATTTTCCTGTAAGGATATTGCAATGATAGGAGAAACCTTGCCCATCCTTCTGTGGGTTGAATAATAAGGTTATCTGGAACCAAAAAGCATACTTCAGATTTTTTAGAGGTGCTCCATAATTAAAAATACCCTCTGAAACTGTCTTGGTAAATACAGACGACAGAAACAAACTCTTCAGTTCTTCTAATAAGTTAGTCTTGTCTTGCCATAATAATTTCATTATGAAAACTATCTGCACTGACCTTTGCTTAATCACAGAAATGCAGTTAAAGAAATGGACAGTGTTTTGTTGTTGTTGAGGAGCTTCTCAGTCAGCTGCTTCTCCAGCCTTGTCTGAATGGGATAAATGTTGGAGACCTGGTGCCCTTACTAACTTTTTCAATGCACTTCCTGAAACCACAAATAGCTGACAAGCTTCAACTAACGCTGCTCCTTCCTAGAAACGCTTAATGTTTGTTTGCTGCAACCTCAGGGAAATTGCAATGCCTCTGTATTCAGTGGAATTGGTCACTCTGTCTTGCCTTGCCATTCATTTTTGTCATTTATATTTGTTTCAGTGGCCTGGACATGCATGAAATTTTCCAATGGCATCAGTTTTTCTTTTCTCCCAGAAGAATAATACTGTGATTGCTTGGCCATTCCATTGAATATCCCTCTCCTCATCCACAGACCTTTTGTTTGCTGCAGGATTGCCAGGGTCCCTACTGGAATCTGAAGATGGAGGTTAAATTTTAAATATATGGGGAGGTCCATAGTGAAACAACAAGCATCCTTAATAAGGTGCATTTACTCAGAAGCTTTTAACCAACAGTTGTCTTGCTCTCCAAGAAGACTTCTTTCGGAGGAGCTCTGGCTGGTTTGACAGACAAGTTTGCTCAGAGCAGTTCCAGTTATCCTCTCTTCATCATCTGGGATTACCATATGCTGGAGGATTAGTTATAATGGTTGTTCACAGACCAAATTACTTCTAGCTAAACATGCTGTGCTTTAGAAACTGATCTTATTACTTGTGGTTGGTCTCAAATGTTTTGTAAAAACAATTTTTAAAACCTGTGCCATAGTCACATTGCCTTCTGGAAAAAAAAATTACTTAGAAAAATTCTACATCACAGCATTCTCTTTAATGTGTGTGGGGCCTAGACAAAGCTGGCTTTGAATTCCACTAGAGTTGTAGTGGGTACAAAAAATGTCATCCAAGTTTTTTGGGTGTAAGTAGCAAGAATCTATAAATAAAACCTTTTAAAAGCTATTAATATGTATGCTTATAAGTGGTTTATTTTAAAAGAATTAATTCTTATAATTGTTTATTAAGTGTCACAGTTTATACAGCTTGCTTCTTCCTAATAGACAAAGTGGGCTGGTAGTTCTCAGCTGGTGGGTTTTCACTGACTCACAATCCTTTGTAGGTCTGAGCCAATACCTAATTGATTCTTAAAGTATCTTTCAAGTTACTCTGTTGGGTAGTTCAGACCTTGAGAACTTTTAGTTCACAAGCGTTGATCTTCTTCCTGCTGTTTACTTCAGCTCTGACTCTGAAAAGAATACTTACAGTAGGCATCTGCCTGTCCTCAAAACCACACTCAGAGCCCCGAGTTGAAGTTGTGCAAGTTAATTGTAATGGCCATACCTTCATTTCCCAGCATTGCCCCATGAGACTTCTGCCAAGGCCAGTTACTTTAGTACTGTGGAGCTGGTTGTTCATTGCTTAGAAAAAGCTGGCAGTGACTAATCTGGACTCGGGGCATGCTGAGTCTCTGGGGTCACAATGCTTATGGATAGCTGGGCTGGGTTTTCCCTGCTCTTACCAAGGGCTTGCCCTATTAGTCTTCCAGTGATTCCCTGTATTTTGGTGGAAATGCAGCCTATGCAGCTATTCAGAAGGTAGGTTATTTAATGCTTTGAAAGATTTAGAAGATTGGTGGTTCTCTGTTTCAGTGCTGCTATGGACTTATTTATGAAGGCAGATGGGAGTGAAGAGATGGAGTTGCCAGCACCTTGGAAAACTTGATGCATAAGATCAGCAGTTTCCTCAGACCAAAAAGTCTTTTTTCTTTTTAAAAAGAGGAGTAGGCAGTAGATGACTCAACAGCAGCAGACCTTAGGCCAAGGAGTTGCCTCTGGAAAAGAGAGACTCATATTGCTTTGCAACAGATTTCCTGATTTATAATCTCTCATCCCTTTGTTTGTTTGTTTGTTTCCATTTTTGCAGACATTTGTATTTTAATTGGTGTTCTCCAAACTGCAGATGTTCTAAGTGAGCTAATCATGGTAATAAAACTATCTATCCTTGGTTTTTTGCAGAGAACCTGTAGCTTTGGAGGCTTTGATTTGACAAATCGTTCCCTTCATATTGGAAACAGTTCTGACCAAATGGTGAGTTTGAGAAGGTGCAGAATGGAAATAGCATAAAATGAAATGCACAGAAGAGTTATAATAGACTGAAGTGTAATTTAGGTCTGTAATAATAGTTTGGGGATCCAAGAAAACAGAGCATCTTTGTTAACCTCAAACTTCCTTAGCTTTGAGAATAACATACCCACCCATATCCATGTGTGTATAAGTATTTATATACAGTATGTGCAAAGTAGCAACAAGTGATCAAAGCACAGATCTGGGGGCACATCTGTGGGCTATTCTGGTATCTGACTTCCTCAGAGCATCACCCAACGTAAAACATGTGCTTGCTATACTTCTTTGTAAAAATATTTACTATTTGGAATTATGAGTCTAACCTCCCTGAAGATCTGCAAATTATTTGCATGGAAGTCATTATGTAAGAAGTTCATTATTAGTTTTTTCATTGTATCTCAGAGCTCTGGAGTAGACCAAGATCCCGTTGTGCTGGGTGCTGCATAACTGATCTTAGAGCATTCTTGTGTTTAAAAAAAAACCACATTTCCCCTGAGAATTAATTCCATTTTATGTTAGTCATTTTGATCCCACTGTTACTGTTGGTTGGCCTGTGGCCAAAAATAACAGAACAGAAATGAACCAGAACATTATATCAAATGAAATTGCAAACATATTTTTTCCTTTTGCCCATATATGCTTTTCTTTTCTGTTTCACATTGCATTTGATAACCTTCCTGTCCACTTAAGTCTAAATTGTCAACCATTTTGTATGTCAGCATTATATTATTTTTTATGTCAGTTGGGGTTTTTGGGCATGTTTTTGGTTGCATTTTTTTTTAACTCATCATAAATTACCCCTAAATTTGCTAAATCTGTGGGTGGTTATTTTAGTCATCAATTTTCAACTCAGCAAACAAATTAACTTCTGAATCTATAGTGTTTATCTTTAAACATTGGTACTTGTTTTGATCAGATTGGTTTTAATATAAGGAAGTGTGAAGTCTAGATTTTATATTCGTCCCTGGGAGCATTAGTAGTGGGAGAGATGCAGTGCACTAGATCAATACATGTGGATCAAAGCAGGTTTTTTTCTTGAAAACATGTAAGTCCATTAAAGTCCGTTTTTTTCAAAAAAGATTAGGCAAAAAATTAATTTATGTTGAAAGACCAAAATTACCAATGAAGTTGTGATTATGGACAACTTTTAAGGGGAAAACCAATGGATTGTCAGAAATGAAGTATCAGTTGAATTTCAGAGAAACTTTTTGTAAGAACACAGATGAAGTAGGAAACATACATAAATGTAGAAAAAAAGATAAATCTTTAATGCACAATATAGTACATTAGTTAATGTACAATATAGTGCATTTATTTTAGGTTTTGCTGTCTTCTTGTAGATAAATTCAACCAGATCAGAGACCAAACTCAGTAGTCAATCTGTTTGGCCAGATGGATTTTGGTCCTTTTTTGTGCTGGGATTTTTGGTGCACCCTTGCCAATGGAGGGTGCTGGAGTACATCTAATAGAGCTGCATTGCTCAGTGGTTCCTGAAACAGAGTAGAACATAAGGCCGTGTTTAATGTCCTGCCTGGACAATCTCTCAATTGAATCATACAAGTTTGGTGAAATGTCAGCTGATCCATGTTAACTGTGTACTTGTGATATAAGTACACAGCTCAGTACCTTAAGCAGGTTTAGAAATGGTTAAATGAATTCAAAGCAGCTGGTCTCTTGTCATCCACTATGTAGGGACCAGCTAATTTAGTTCATCAGTACCCTGCTTTGTGCCTTAAAAAAAACAGTGCTAATTTAACCTACCATGATTGATGGATTTAGTACAGTTTTTGTGGTATTTGGTTTTTTTGGTTTTTTTTTTTTTGTTTTTTTGTTTTTTTTTTTGTTTTGGTTTTTTTTTTAGGGTGAATAGTAAAACCACAGAGGTTAGCAGAATCCTGTCTGAAAATAAAAAGTAAATTTAGGTGGCCAAATGTAGACATCCACATATGTAGATGTAGACACACACACATAGAAATATATATTTGGCTAGTATCTCAGAGATACCTTTATTCCTGCTAAAGTCTTTGTAGTATTGAACAACAGGAGCCACAACTACTGTTGTGTGTCCTGTTAGGAAAGCTTAGCCTGAAACATAAGGTTTTCTATCAGTTCAAATACTTATTGAAATTTAAAGGATAAAGGCATCCTAACAGTCCCCAGCACATCTACACACAATACTTTGACAGATCAGGCCTTAAGAGTAAGCAACAGTGAACTGCTACAGTGGTTTGCCCAAAGCCTCAACAGTGAATTTGGAGCAGGCAACAGGGCACTGTGCTGCTGTCCTGTGTCTGCCTGGACATCTCTGCAATAACTGCTGGCTGAGGGAGAAAATGGCTCTTCTGTTTTAAAGGCTTAAGCCCTGTTTTATTTTGCAGGGCAAAGAAGGAGACTTTGTTTATAAAGAAGTGGTCAAATCACCTTCTGCCTCGCGTATATCTCTGGGCAAAAAGGTGAAGTCTGTAAAAGAAACCATGAAGAAAAGGATGTCAAAAAAATACAGCAGCTCTTTGTCTGAGCAGGTATGTAAGGTCTGCAGTGGAATCCACTTAATAATGTAGAGGTGATAATCAATATTGATTCCTATGCATCAAGGCATCTCTGATGAAATTTCTAATAAGATTATATGGTGTGACTTAGTCCTATGTTCTTATAAAATCCCTCACTGTGAAATGGCTTCCTATAGATGCCAGTACCATGGAAAATGCATTTTCAGATTTTCATTTAAGTAGCTCATCAGAAGTCTGTCGTTGATGGCATTACACACCTCACTCTCTATTTCCATTTCTTTTCTATAATAATTTATTAGGGGAACCAAGTCTGTGACACAGGGTCATAGTAATATATTTAATCTGCAATTTACACCCTAGTTTAAATTCCCAGCATAACTTCACATATATGCAGCTCTTCTCTGCTATTACAGGTCTTTTCTCCATCATAGCCTGCCCTGTGCAGCAGCCCATTAAAACAAAAGCCCAGTCTAGTCAGAAAGGGGCATCTGACAGATTTTCCTATAATTCTTTCATTACAGATTTTTATAGTCTATTCTTAAAGGCAAGAACTTTTTTGTACTTCAAACCTGAAGTACATTAGTTCTAAATTAGACTCTGAATTTCAGTGGCCTAGAAACAATCGCTGTCTTTTTCCCTTTTCCTTTAGTGGAGTGTCAAAAATCTTCGGCATTTGTTTAAAACCGAGCTTGCCACTTGGATTGTGTAAGGAATAGGTCGGAAAGCCGCTGGAAAAGCAAAGCTCTTCCTGGTTAACACCGCCCCCCAGTGGGCTCGGTCCGGTCGCGAGGGATGCTCGCAGTTATGGGAAATCGGAAGTTTTGCTCTTAATACAAAGCCTTAGTGCCTGTAAAAGGAGCAGTTCATAACATTCATAGTGACAACCCCAAACTGAAGAATCAAAATGCACCAAGAGAGGCAAAAATATGGCCGGTGTTATGCCGTGCTTTGTGACTACAGTATCTCCTCCTGCAGAACTGTTCATTAGTCATACTTATTTATAACCAGGGCAGTGCTACACTTATGGTTATTTAATTTAAACTTAAAATTAAAATATTTTAAGGTGTAACATGATTTAATATTTATAAGAAGATGGTTTGGTGTCTGACTGGCTTTCCAGACTCTCTCTGGAAAGTGCCAAAGAAAAGGGATCTTTTGAGAAATTGCTTTACAGTGGTTTAGCAATACTTCTGCTCTCTGTCTCTCAAAGATTCGCTTTTCCTCTGAAGTCATAATGCTGGGACGAGATTTTCCTAATGATTCTGCAGCATGCAAATAATAGCGTTCATCTGAAAGTTTTGTGGCCATACATCTCCACAAAACACTCTTGTATGTGAGCTACAGTTCTTTTGTTTTCAAAGTTTATTGCACAGTTGTTTTAGAATATTTATAACTTTCAGGCATCATGATTCAAAGTATGTTCCATCATCTCTTTCTGCATGCATTAAACAAGCAAAAGTTATGCTGGCCACAAGTATGTTCTGCTTTGTTTTAACTGTGCTTCACAAAGTCTGACAGAATTTCAGTTTAGGAAAGACCCTTTTGATTTTCTGTAATGTTTGACTGAATGAAAAGAGAAATTGTCTCAACTCTTGCACACTGTAGCAACTAGAACATACACGTAGCAAAATCTTTTTATATTTATGCATTTATAAGTATTTGTACTATGCACAGGCTGCATTTTCTAGCTAATTCTTTTTTTTGTTCTTATAGTTAAATGAGCAATGACATTAAAAAATTAACTGAGAAAAAAACCCCAAAAACATTGCTTCATGTCTCACTTGCATTGTTTGATTTGTTTGTGTTCATCTTGGTGCAAAATTCTGATTCAGAGACCTGAATTTGGCACTAGCTGTTTTGCAAGTGCTGCTGGCCAAAATATAATGTGTCATGAAAATCCTTGAATTGAGAGTTTTGTATAAGGTTGTTTGTTTTTTTTTTCCCTACTTACAATGCTAGCTTTTTTAGACTGGTCTGTTTGCTCCTATCACCACTATCATGCCTAATAAAGTGTTTCTACCACAGCTGGGTACTGCTCAGTAAGTAGACAGAAGTTTTCAGCCTGTCTGGTAAAGAGCAGGAAAACAGAATCTTATTCCTTGGAGGTGGACAAGCAGCTCCCATCAGTGCTTGTGTTCATTTATCAAACTTTAATGGTCCAATCCCTTTCAGGAGTCCAGCCCTGGGATCGTGCCGGGTTCCCCACAGTCGCCACCACCAGACACTGACTCCCTGGACAAACCCAAGCTGAAAGCTGGTGGCTCAGTGGAGAGCCTGAGGAGTTCCTTAAGCGGTCAGAGCTCAATGAGTAAGTTCAGTTGTAATTGTGTTGCTCCATTTCTGTGGCTTCAGGGAGCAGAGATCTTCACCATAACCAGAACCAGAGAAAGTCAAAGCAAAAGCAGTGGTTAAAATATGGAAAGGCTGAGGGGTTAGTCATTAGGCATTTACAAAGAATTTTAAGCTCTTTGGTGCAAAGACAGTGGGTTTTTTGCTTTGTTTATACAGTACCCTGAAAAAGTTAAAAGTCTGCTTTCTGTCTGGTGGGTCCTGCTATTACAATATAAATATTCTAATATAAATGTAATGTAATAATGAACCTGTTTACTACTGATCGAGTAGTAAACAGGCTCATCTTTACTCTGGATTTCTCCTGAGCACTGGGTCATCCTGAGATGGACTTTCTACCCTCCCTCGAGAGAAACCTGGAGTTTCTCTCATTATCTAGTTAAAGGAAGAGTAGTATTTAAAACCTCTCTGGTTTAGACTGTCTCTACAAGAAACAGCCAAAATGGAACACACGTGATGTTAACTTGCTACACTATTCATCAAATTTCTGGACTTGAGAGGGATTCTGGAATCCCCTTGCAGGTTTCAGAGCTTGTTTTCCTCACAGACGTTTTGTGAGCAAAACTTCCCAGAAAGATGTCGTCAGTCTCTTGTGACGTGTCATAGATGAGACACTTGATAAACAGCTTCTTGGTTACATATTGAGAGGGTGGATTCAAGAAAGCAGAAATGCAGAGTAGATAACTCTCCTATGCACATGTGTGTATAAGAAATAGCAGCATTTGAGGGCTTTTAACTTTAATTACCATGTTTTGTGGAAAGAAGACCCATTTTCTGTCTTGTCTCTGTTTCTGAAGCTTCTTCACAAAGAAACTTTTTTGTGAACTGATACTATGTCTCTCACACAGGTGGTCAGACAGTGAGTACAACAGATTCCTCAACCAGCAACAGGGAGAGTGTGAAATCAGAAGATGGTGATGATGAAGAGCCTCCTTACAGAGGACCTTTCTGTGGAAGAGCCAGGGTTCACACTGATTTTACTCCGAGTCCTTATGATACAGATTCTCTGAAGCTCAAGGTACCAGCTATATCTGTTTTTAAGTAGTCAAACATTTATTTTGCCAAAATTCAAAATTAAGACCTTTTTACAATAACTGTAGAATTCTTAATCTTTTAATGAATTTGTATGTTTTTGAAGCCCTTTAACCTGTCTTCGACATTTAAGATTTCCTTATATAGCAATTATAGGATATCAAAATGTTATAGAACATAAGTAACTACTAGTGTTTCTCTGCATCCATGGAAAGACACTTCTGTCCTTAGTTTCTGGAAAACTGAGATGTGCCATGAACTCATTTCCATTTTGCAAGGGTTTTGCTTGAAAGATTGGAAAAATACTTTGTCTGCCACAATGAAATAATCCTCAATGGAAAAATTTTCAGAACTCTTGGAAGAAATGTGCATGCACCTGCACACAGTGTCTCTTAAAGGTATTTCAGTTAATATAACTTGGTTTGAGTTAATATTTAAATACTTTGATAACTGAGTGATTATCCCCCTTTAATTTTTCTGATTGTTTTTAGTTATATTCAACTCAAACTATCTGACTCCTTACATTCATTACTTAAAATTGCAAAAGCAGCTAATTCCTATTAAACCAGATGTATGTAAGGTAATCTCTTGAGGCATGCAAAAGCAGTTGTGTGTCCATTTTTTTGTTATGGTCAGGAGCACATTAGGAAAAGCAACGTTATTGGTTCCCTCTGCATCAGCTTCCTTTGGTCAGGAGATCTGATTTGAAATTCTGCTCATATACACTGAGCCTGTTCTTGTTTGCACAAATTTCAGGTAGTTGCAAGCAAAGAGACTTTTGTACCAAACGGCACTGATGCTCCTACAGAGATGTGAGCAGGTCCGTGAATCTGGACAGTTGGAGTCTGTTGTTGACTTGCTCAGAGACATGTCACCTAATTCCTTTTTATTCCATTTGTAAAACAAGTATCATCAGACATCTTTGCAAAAGCTGGGTTAACCTTTGAAAACTGAACTGTTGTCCATCCCATGTACCTGGAAATGTAAGTGGGTGTGTTTGCTTAAATATCCAGCAGAAAACTAAATGGCTTTCTTGCTTCTTTGGTCTGCAGAAAGGTGACATCATTGATATAATCAGCAAACCCCCCATGGGCACTTGGATGGGTCTGTTGAACAACAAAGTTGGCACCTTCAAATTTATCTATGTGGATGTGTTAAATGAAGAAGAAGAGAAGCCGAAGCGGCCCACCAGGAGACGTAGAAAAAGTAGACCACCCCAGCCCAAGTCTGTTGAGGATCTTTTGGATCGCATCAATTTGAAGGTCCAAATTCTCTCTCTCTCTCTCTGCTTACCCTTTCACTTTTTCTTGCAGGGAAAGGGACCTTTGAAGTTGTTAGTTTTGGAAGCTGCACACCAGATTCATAATCCTAAGGATTGTCACACCGCTTAGCAGAATCAGGTCTTAGCTGCAGAGTGAAAATAAATGACGTGCAGAACTGCCTGTCAGGCTTGATGAAGTGCCATAGGCTGTGAGTCGTGTGCAGTCAGACACTGTAAATCATTGCGCAGTATGACCACAGGCTACCACACTTTAGAGGCAAGCAAAAAGTATAAAATAACAACAGTTATCCTGTCTTTAAAGTGGAATATTTTTTCCCCATGTTTCTGTTTAGAAGTGTTTGGGATGAATTGGTGGGGTGTCATTCACCCTTCATACTTTCCCCCTCATACTTTCCCCTCAGCCATGCCTCATTGTGCCTTCAGGTAGCAGGATACCCAGGCCATCGAATACACTGCATTCCAAACACAACAGTACGTGCAGCATTCTAGTTCTGGCACAGCTGCCTCCCTGAATTCAGAGCAGTGTTTAGGCAAACTACAATGCTATCATTTTGTTATTGTGCAATGGTTTGCACTTATTTAACTTCTTGATTTTCTTGCTCATTGCAAAAATCTTAGTATCTTTATTGACAAAATAAGTTTAAGAAATATGTTGTCATACCACTCATTGTTTTCCCTTTGTGCAGGAGCACATGCCCACTTTTCTGTTCAATGGCTATGAAGATCTGGATACCTTTAAGCTTTTAGAAGAAGAAGATTTGGATGAACTGAACATCCGAGATCCAGAGCACAGAGCTGTTCTCCTCACAGCAGTGGAACTTCTTCAGGAATATGATAGTACGTGGGATGTTTGAGGTTTTCTGTTTTACTAGAGCTCTGCCAAGAACCTTGCGAACCCCTTAAACCAGAAAACTTGTTCCAAGATTTTGATCTCTTTTTTCCTAATATAGTTATTTCCAGGGTAATCCTGTGTAACATTAGATTTTTGAGGGGTGACATAAGACTTCTTTTGTTCTGCTGGAATTACTCTGTTCATGTAAGTCTTACCACCCAACTTATTTAATTAATATCAAGTGTACAACACATAACACTTTAGAATACTATTCAAGAAGAAATCCTGAGATAACCTACTCTAAAATAGGAGGCTGACACATAGGGGATAGGGAAGAAGACATTTCCAGATTGGAGGGAAGATACTAAGATTATCAAGGTTAAAAAAATCAGAGCCCAGAAGGTTGTGGAGAAAATGTAATGTGAATTAATTTCATCTGCACGTGCTTTTGGTACTTGGACTGTTAATTGCAGGATTGTAAAGGTAGCTTCAGGTTGTGTACATGACGACACAGAAATTTTCAAAGGGAGCAAATATATTAGTCAAGTGCAAACAGTGAAAAACAGCAACCAACCTACCTATGTACAACAGTGCAGTTTTTCTCACTGAACCACATGGTCTTGGGCAGGTGGTTGCAAAGACAAGGAAAAGTGGAATAAGCCATGGCAGGCAAATGTAAGGGTGTCTTTGCTGCACAGGAGTAAGCAGAGCCTAGCTGCAGCAACCTAAGACAGTACTGAATTTACCCTTCATCCCCAAGTGTCAGTAGAAGGTTGGTATCCACCAAGCAGAGTCAGTGGAATGGATTGTGTGAGGGCATTCTCAGCTGCTTCTGTGCAAATTCCTATGTTTTAGCTTAAACTTCCATAGCAGCAATTTAAACAGCTGTTATTAAGTGGGAAAAGCTTAATTCAATTACAGCAATATGTGTGGTGGATATCTTTTGACAGTGCTGTGTGGCCTGTGTAGTTTTCTTGTTCATTTCCCAAAGAGGCATCCACTCTTTCCTTGCCCTTCTTTAGCTACTAATAAAGTTGCAGTTACCTAATTTGTTTTTTTTCACTTAGAGTAGCTTTTTGTCACCTAAGATGAGCTTCTCTTCATTATTTGCAGAACTATTTCGAATGCTAAACTTCCCTGAAGTAATATTTTTTTCAGGACCCTTCAATTTTGGTTTGCAAACTTGAAGATTTGGTGGTTGGAAAGTACAAATTTCAGCTCCAAGTCAGGATGATGAGGAGAAAAAGAAATGGGGACCAGACAGATGGAATCTGGGACGGGCAACAGCACATAGTTCCACACCACAATTACCTGTCATGTGCTGAGAGTAGGAATTGGAGTAGCCATTTCTGACATTTTATTGCAAGGGGAAAAATATCACAGCATAAACTGTATTCTTGTATCATGACACTGATTTTCTGTATCTTCAGCTCCAGATTTAGCTTCTTTACAAAATATGATCCTGACAAAAATTCTGGGTAAATTCCTGGAATCCAGTGTATGGAAGCTGGATGGACCACACTTGAGTGTTGGCTTTTTACACAGACCAAGGAAGGAGGGAATTGGCACCATTAGTCTCCTTCATGTCCCTTTATCCTTTGTTAGGGGACAGCATCTAATGTGCCAGACTCAGTCCCAATCCTTCCTCTGAGTCTTTTGGAAGGTAATTCAAAGTTAGGATTTTTTTTTTCCACTACGTTCATTTCAGCTCTTTTCTTCTGGTTTGGGTGTTGGAGGATTTTTTAAATATTAGAAAGAACTTTGACACCATCAATTTAAATAAATTTCTATGGTGGTAAGTTATAGAACTTGGTCCCAAAGCAGCTGAGGAGCACAGGAATTCCATTCTGCTTTCATTGTGTACCACACTGCTCCCTCACACTCCTGCTGAGGCTGTTGTTAATCATTTACCAAACAGGATGAATGTTTCCAGTATTTGTGATGGCTTTTCCTATTGCTCACTCTTTTCTGATACAAGTAATACAATAGGAAAGATCGTAGAATCATTTAGGTTAGTAAAGACCTTTAGAAACAGCAAGTCCAACAGAGTCCACCACTAAACCTGTCCCTAAGGGCCACATCTACATATCTTTGAAATACCTCCAGTGATGATGACTGAATCACTGCCTTGGGTAACTTGTTCCAGTACCTGACCACCTTTTCAGTGAATAAATTTTTCTTAATTCACAAACTAAGGGTCCCCTGGCACAACTTGAGGCCGTTTCCTTTAGTCTCATTGTTTGTTGCTTGGCAGAATAGGCCGACTCCCACCTAGCTACAACAGTGCAATTCTAGAGGGCATTTATGTCTCCCCGAGCCTCCTTTTCTCCAGGCTCAACACCCTCAGCTCCCTTGACCACTCCTCATAAGGCTTGTGCTCCAGATCCTTCATCAGCTGTGTTGCTCGTCTCTGGACACACAAGATAATGGTGTTTGAAATGGAAGGTTGAGAAGTTCAGCTGCATTTTCTGTTGCCTGTTTTTCACTGTATTCTCACATCCTCTAGGTAACAGCGACCAGTCAGGATCTCAGGAGAAACTTCTCATTGAAGGCCAAGGCCTAAGCGGATGCTCTCCTCGGGATTCTGGCTGCTATGAAAGCAGTGAAAACCTGGAGAATGGTAATGGTGACAGCAATGAGCCTTATAGTTCCTGCAGTCATTTTTTTTTTCAGTAGATATCTTCATATACTTTTGCTCCTGTTCCTAGTTAACACAAACTGCTTCTTACTTGCCTTTGTCCTTTGCTCTGACTTCCTCCTTCCCTCTTGATTTGAGCTATTGGTTTTCACTGCTACTGTTGCTAATGTATTTATTTGCATTAGTAGGAAACAAATCCCCTTTCACAAAGTCTTTGTTTCATGTCCCTAAAGCAAGTCTTTCTCAATGCCATTCCCCTGCCTTCTCTGCTCCCAGTCATATTCTCATGCCACAGTGGCTCATGAGGCTTGCTCGGGTTACACACTGATGGCCCAAGTCTAAGAGGCCACCAGTGAAGAAGTCTTTGAACCTTACTGAGATTAGGAGGATTTCTTTTGAGCCCATACAAAAGCTGTTAAGAAAAAATGTTCTTTATTTTAGGCCATATTTTTCTGTTTGCTTTGGGTTGCATGTTGCATTGCCATCTCCTCAGAATGCAGCTGAAGAGATGTAGGACGTTTTAGTATATGAACACTAGAAAGTTAAATTATTGAGAAGTTGGCAAGGAAATAAATGATGAAAAAAAAAATGCTGATGATATCAGTTCCCATTGCCTTATCCTGCATCAGTGAAATGTGATGCACTGAAAAATTACCAAGACAGACAATGTTAATAGAGATTGCTGTCTCTGATCTGAAGAAACAGGTTATTGTGCTGATTGAGCATGTTTTACTTCAGGGATGGTCTAAACTTGTCATTAGGGATGATCTATTAAAAAAGTTGAAATGGGTTTGAGTTGGGCATTTTCACTCCAAGAATTTGAGCTGTCTTGGCCTCATACTGCCTGGATTCATTGCTAAGATTCACCATAAATAGGAAACCAAGAACAATATAAACGGATTCTGTACACCCCTTATAGCGGCCATTTTTCCTATTGAAAATAAGAGCTAAGAATCCTACTCTTAGTATGTGCATGTTAGTCCACCACTGAAAAATAACCATTCATTGAAGAAAATGGCAATTTGCTTTGAAACTGAATGATTGAAATGGACAGTATACAGTTTATAATTCTTTAAAGTGGGGAGGGGAGGCTTTTTTTTTGAGTAGGAATACACATTCACTAAGCATGCTGGAATAGAATAATAGCTAAATATATGGCATATGTGACAATTTTCTTCTCTTTTTATCTCTAAGTACAATCATAGTGATAGCTGTAACACTGAAGTTAAAGTGCTGCCTGTACATTTTCCTTATTTTAACAATATAAAACCTTTAGAAAGCAATTGGCATTGCCTGTCTGGTTAGATACTTATGTTTAAACTAATATTTCTGTATGAGTTTTTCAGAATGTGAAATGCTGATGATTTTTATATTGTTTTTTATGTATGACTTGCTGCATTTCTGCATCATTTTTGCTAACAAATGCATTTACTGCTTCTTTTGAAAACTACTATGAAAAGAACATTTTATTCACTCTGAGATTTTGTCAAGGCTATTTAATCTGAAAAGTACTCCACCTTCTTTGCAAAGTTCATGGTCCATAGTTGTTTATATGCATATTTTTTTCAAAGCACATTATGTTCTCATTTAGGATAGTCACTTGTCTGGTATAAATATAATGTGCAGATCTGCACTTCATGATGAGCAAGTGCATTCTGAGAAGAAACCAGTCTTCAGATTTTCTGGGGAATTGTTATACATAATATTTTTATGACTACTACAGTGTCCAGTTTGGGGTTGATATTGGATCCTTTGGCATCAGTTCAAGATTTTAGAGCTGCTCTTACATTCTGGCTAGAAAATGGTTTGCAGTGTACTATAGCAGAGTATCTTTGTTAAGTACTTTTCTGGGTCCCACTGCAGAAATACTGGGATATTCTCTTAGGTATCTACAGTGTACTTACAGCAGCATTCTCATTTTATTTCAATTCACAGAGAGCAAGGAGCATGTAGTCTGTGACCTATCCAGCGTTAGAAAAAACCTCAGAGCAGGAAGTAACCATCCTTGATCAGGCAATTAGTCCACATGGCACCAGGGCAGAGAGAGCAAGCTGTCCCTTAGACTTGTGACAGTGGTGCAGTTTCTGGGCTTGTTTTGCATGCAGGTGTCAACAGACTGAGATGCATTTGGAAGCCATATCAGAAATCTGGTTCTCACAGGACTGGCCAAAAGCAGATAGTACAGAATAGTATAAGAACAGAGCATGCATATCTGATGCTTCCCAGGACAGTCTTGGGGAATGACTCATTTAAGGACTTAAAAATATGGGAGCTGTTTCCTGGCATTCATCAATTTTCTTGAAACTTTTTATGAACGTCCCTGGTCTTCCGCAGAACCTCCATACCTAACAGTATCTGTATATAGACCTCTGTCATATTCCCTCCCAAGTCATCTCTTTGCTAGTCTGAGAAGGCCTGTTAATTATTCCCTATAGGTCATTCCCATCACTGTTCATGCCTGGCTTTTTTGAACCTTCATTTGTTATGTTGTGCAGCTTTTTCAAGGGGATATAAAGAGATAAGAATTGCACCTGCAGTGTGCAGTCTTGAATGAGCAGACAAACCAGGCCCCTTTATCAGGCTGAGATAAGGGTGTTCTCTGATTTGTTCAGAAACAGATGCCCAGATTCCTGTAGTACCAGGCAGTTCAACAACCTAAGCAGTTCAGTATTCAGTCCTGATTAATCAAAAAAGGAAGCAAAAGAATATGTTGCCTACATTGCCTAATGTAATTGGCATTTCTACTAGTTTGTAATCAATAGAAAAAGCAATGAGGCCAGTATATCTAAGGTGCCATCATCTTTGTTGTATCAACAGAGCAGTTTGAAATGCACCCAAAATATACCCACAGAAAGCAATACCAAAATGAAGTTAGTAAAATCTGGGACTTGGACACTGCATTCTGTGTCTGGTTTTGCATACTTAAAATTCTGAGGACTGTGAGGAAAAAAAAATACTGTGAGAAATGCTATGGTACCTCCAGAAAGATTCCCCAAGATAGTCCCCTCTGTTCTGAGGCAGATGATGACAAGGAAAGGAAAAGTTCTTTCCTGTATGGTAACAGCAAGTATCATAAGAGGTGGACAGTGCTTTGTTTAGCAAGAATTGCACAGTAACATCCAACAGAAGATTTGAAGTATTGCCTGTAGCTTGAACCGAACCTGGAAATAATATAAGCTTTGCATTCATTTTGTGCAAGGACCACTTTTGTAGTCTTATTTTTTTACTCACACATCTGTGTCATTATGCACACATTTGAATCAGAGATACCTCTATGGCTTACAGCCCTATGAAAGGCAATAGGCTGCATAACTGTACCGGGGCTCAAAAGACTTATTACCAAAATGCCAAATTATCAAAAATCACAAGAGTTGTTATTAAAAACCCATAACATTTAAAATGTCATTTAAACTTTACTAGCTGTGCACTTTAACCCTTTCAGGTTGTTTTCCTATTTTTTTCCTTAAGGTAGGGAATGTTGCATTTGTGGACATTATTTCTGTAACTCTCCATTCTGTGAAAACAACTTTAAAATATATTTCAAAATCTGGTTTCAGGAAAGATTACCTTCCTGTTTTAGTGTCTCAGAAGCATAATGAAATTACACCTGACAGTCAGGATGAGGGAAGGAATAGATGAAAAAAGAGAAATAAATCATAGCTCCCCTCCCGATACTGCTCTTCACTTAAATCACACTATAAGAAATTACATTCTCAGCTACTGTCCTTTGTTCAAAGCAGTAGCATTGAACCCCCCAGAACTATCTTTTAAACCATTTTGAAGCTGAGAGGTTAAAGATTGCATGTTTTGTTATATATGTTACAGGCCTATATATTTTGAACTTCCTCCCATTCTCACCTCATTTTTGTATGTATGCCTAACAGGGTTGGAATGAACTAAAGATTTAATTTTACTTTCACAAAATTTCTCTTTCCTTTCTTTTTTTCTTCATTTTCTGTTCCTCATTTCTTCTTTATTTTTTCTGTTCTCAGGCTACTGGCTTTACACAGGCAGACCCCATTTCTAAAGAAATTAAATGCTGCTTACTAGATACTCTTCTGGTTTCAGTAAGAGTTTATATTGCACAGCAGTAGGGTTTTCCACAACTTTTCTTCTAGTGCTGAGGTTCCTGAGTGGGCTTTCCTAAAATCAGTGTAACCCCTGATCAATATATCAGATTGAAAAGAAGGTATATGGATTTTGTATAATGAGCTGTGACAGCAAGTCTCAGACAACAGGGTAAATTACTGCACAGGTCAGACTTGTGCTAGTAATTATGAATAATGGAAAGAAAACACTCCTTTCCATGCTCATTAAATATTGTCATTAGCGCCTGGAGGCACTAAAAAATGAATGTAACTTTTCTTAGGCATCTTTCTAATGTGATTGCACGTTATTTTCAGAAGGCGATGGCCTAGCTCCAGGAAGAGTGCAGACAGAGAGGTTCTTTCTGCTACTTTTCTGAGTTACCTGAACTCAAGGTAGCACCAACAGCAACAACTTCAGTGTGGGATGTGTCTCTGTTAGCATTTTGGGGAAATGGTGATATTTAGCTGCAGTTGAAGTGTGATCAGTACAGCTTCTGAGAAAGGAGTTGCTGTGTGCCCACATTCATCCTTATGGGCTCACCTTGATTTAAACTGATTTGGATGGGACTGTTTTCCTTATATCTCCTTGAGTGTGACCTCCATTTTCTTTGCTAGTTTTCTGGATACTTGGTTTTTAAACTCCTTAAGCAGAGTAAGAGGCAAGAGAAAGAAAGGTATTTATTGTTTTAGGTTAAATGGGTTCTTTCATTCATATGCAAGGTGAACAGTGTTTATTATTCAAAAGCCAAGCACTGAATTTCTATCGGGATAAAGCTCTGAAGGCAAACAATACAAGAAGAAAGCATCCATTGCTTAAAAGTTACCACTATGACTTGTGACTAATACTAACATTAGTCACACTTGAATCTCCTTTTTGAAACACTTCTCCATCTCATAAGATCTTTATCTGTAAAATGCTGCTGTCGCTGCAAGTAGCTTTCCAAAGGGGCTGATGCAAAACCAGTCTTCATGCACTTTCTTCCTCTCTGTATTGCTATCACAGATAGTCTGCTGCTCATTTAAAAGAATAAATTACACTATTGGCATATAATTTTAAAAATTCATAAACAGAGTGTTTTAAAAAAATCCTATGTGAACTAGTAAACTTTTTAAAAATATGAACATTATTATTTATATACTAAGATTAGAGACAAAATAAAAAATGTATGTCTTTTGTGGTGTTTCAGAAAAACTTGTCAAACCACTTTATACAATGAGTATAGGGTATCAGTTCTAACTGTAGGATACAGTACTTCCACACTGAACAAAGTTTATATGAACTAAACCTCAAATCTGTGCCAATTGGAGAGTATGAAGGATATTAAGTATTTTGGATGTATTTTACATAACAGATATCAGTTACTAATAAAGCTGAAGTTCAAATCAAATTTTTATGCTTGAAAAGGCATTGAGTTCTTCTACGCTTAGAATTAACAAAAAGGGAATATATCATTTTGTTTCAGAAGCATTTGAAAGGGACTTGTTATTTATGCTGCAGATTTTATTTTTAATGGTGGATTTATTTGTTCCTAGGTAAAACTCGAAGGACCTGTCTTCCACCCTCAAAATCAGCAATTGAGCATAGCTTTAGGGATTTCAGCAGAAACCAGCTATCAAATTATCCCACGCTTCCACTGACCAAGTCAATAGAAACTCTGCAGCCAGGGGAAAAAGAAAGCCGGCTGGGTTGTGGACACCATGCTCTGAAGAGCTCTGTCAAGCCTCTGGCTGTCATGGCTCTGAAGAAGAACCGCAGAAGTTTACCAGTTGCTGTGTGTCGAAGCTATGAAACTCTGGATGGCCCCCAGGGTGTAGATACATGGCCAAGATCTCACTCACTGGATGATCTCCAGGGAGAACGCAATACTAACTTACAGGGCGCTAACAAGAAAGTAGATTCTTTTCCTCAGGATTCACTGGATGTAGCTAAAAAGGCAGTTGGCTCTGCCTTACCGCCTCAGTGTCATGGAGGCAGCTGTAAGGTAGATGATGTCATGGCTAAGCAGGGCAAAGGAGCTGCTAATTCTCAGAAGGGAAGAGCTAAGGAATTGAACTGCTCTGTAATGGAGACTGCAGGTGGAAAGCCTGCGCCATTCCCCCTGAAAAACTGTGAAGCTCAGCCTGCCTTAGTGATGCATCATGCAACAAGGACACCTCTGGAAATACAGAGTAAAGATTTTCATGACCTTGCACGGGCTGATTATGCTCCAGTCCTCAAGGGAGGTCTAGAAGGTGAGCAAAAAAGCACAAATGAGGCAAGAATGCAACCAAAAAATCCTTCTCAGCCACCACCTGTCCCTGCCAAAAAATGCCGAGAACGCCTTTCTAATGGATTATATCATCCTCCCACGACCACAAGTGGAAACCACTCAAGTTTAGAAGCACCATGTTTGCCAGTAAAAAAGACCAGTTCATCCATTCCCATTGATTGTCATGGAGTACCTATCAATAGGACATCTTCTGAACTGGAGCCCAGTAGCCCTCCTAGCCCACTACCACCCTGGCTGTCAGAGCTCCCAGAGACTGCTAGTGTTCAGCAGCATGTGGTAAAGCTTGGTCCTGCATCAGCAAGGAAAGTCTCTTGCAGCAGAGGAATGGACCTGGAAATGGTGATAGAAAACAAGCTGCAAGCTGAAGACATTGATCTTACTGAAGAACCGTACTCAGACAAGGTAACTGGTAATCACTGCAGTGGTTTTACTCCACTAGCATTCCAAGGGACAGTCTGTCATTCTTTGTAGCTGTCATTTTTTGTGGGTAACTGACCAAGATAAACCAACAATCATTGGGACAATCATTGGGACAGAGACATTCTACAGCTCTTGTTTGTCTTTTCTATCAGACTTTACAACTGAAGTAATTCTTGTGTTGTGAGGGACTCAGAAATCCCAGACTTATTCTGAACCTTCATCTTTTCAGACAACTGGTGCCTTGGTGGCACTGGGCATGGGAATGTGTCTTTCTCTGCTAATGTAAAGGAATAGAGCTGAAAAAATAAGTAATCATTAGATTTTATGTTTCCAAGAAACTCTGAATTGATAGCATCAATTAGTACAGCTTTTTGTGGGTGGGGGGAAGAAAGGAGTCTTTCAGGAATTGTTTTTTTAGTTTTCCTGGAACCTTGAGGAAAGCTCCTACCTGGGCCCATCCTGCACTTCTCTTTCTGTTGCATTGATTGGTCTGTATGGCTACATTTCTTTAATCTGTCTTCTCTCCTTTGTGTCTGGCTGGGAACATTCAGCATGGTCGCTGTGGCATTCCTGAGGCTTTGGTACAGAGGTACTCTGAAGACTTAGAGCAGCCTGAAAAGGACGTGGCTACAAACATGGACCAAATCCGGGTAAAGCAGCTGAGGAAGCAGCATCGCATGGCAGTGAGTATTTCCATAAAGCAGTCTCTGTGAGCAGACTTTTAAAAGGACTGGCTAGTAGTAAAGGGAGATACTTGAGAAGTCCTGGTACAGAAATACTCCTTACATTTATCCAGCAGATACAAGATAGGTAGAGGTACTGCAGGGGCAGAAGGTACCTCCCCAGTCCCAAAGGAGGACAGTGTGTAATTGAAAGGAGAGTAGATAGTTCTCTCTTGACCAAATAATGATCTTAAAAGTCTAAGCAGACTGCAAGCAATGGTAACAGAGACTTCCTCACTAAGGGTGGCATGTTTTAAATGCTTCTCTATTAAAATTTCCTTTTTCATTTCTTAAACTATACTAGTGTCCACTTCTCCTTAGCAAAAGCAGAAGGGAGAAACCATCAAAAACTTTAATGGTTTCTTCTGCGAGATCTTGGTCTATCTGAGGAGGTAATAGGCAAAATTGGTATTCTCTTGCCTTACTGAGAAATTAAATGGATCACTCTGGAAAGTCTTATTTCTGGGTATTCTTTACTGATCTCAAAATAATTCAGAATGGTACATGAAAGTCAGCCAAGCAGCTGAATGCTGCCCATTGTGTCTATACTGCCAAAATTGTTGTTAGTGCTTCTGGCCAAGGGATCTGAGCCTTTCAGCCCACACCACTCTCATACTGACAAATGTGACATGAGAGAAGTTAGAACATCTGCTATGAAATTCTACCAATTTGGAAGAGAAAACAAACAAACAAAAAAAATAAAAAGACTTGTAAAACAAGCAGATGTGTTTAACATTAAGGGTTCTCTGTTCTTTTTTTTTTAACTCCCCAGATTCCAAGTGGAGGACTCACAGAAATTTGCCGTAAACCTGTATCCCCAGGACTCATCACCTCTGTATCTGACTGGCTGATTTCCATTGGTCTGCCTATGTATTCCAGCCTGTTCACAGAAGCAGGATTCAACACACTGAGCAAAGTGCCTTCTCTGTCAAAAACTTTCCTTCAAAAAGCTGGCATCACAGAGGAAAGGCACATAAGCAAGCTCCTGGCAGCAGCAAGACTCTTCAAACCTCTTGATCCAGAGGCAATTTAACATGCTCCATAGTGTGACATTGCCTGGTCGAGAATCTACTGCTTCTTCCTGCATCAGTATCACTAATTACTTCATGTAGCTAAAGGGATCAAGGAAGTGGCTCCCCAAGACAGGCAAATATCTTCTTCAAAGGATATGAAAGTCTTTGGCCACTGAAGAAGAGAGGCAACCACCACGTAACATAGATGTGGTACTTCCCTCCCCCCTCACTCCCATCTGAAGTATTCCTATTTCATAAACTGCACAGGGTTGGCCTGAGAATCAGACAGCTTCACAGAATTAAGGGACCCTTGCACATTTTCCACGAGTTTATGATAGTGATACTAGTAACAGGTCTTTTGTACATCTAGGTTCCAGATACCTGAAATCAGTCCTAAAGACCAGGTACAAATCAAGGTGCACATTCCAGTAGAAGCCATTTGGCAAATGTCTTGTTTATTTCGGCAGTCTAGAGCTAAACACAGAGCCCTCCCTAGTCATCTTTGCTGTTGCTTGGTGTAGGTCCCAGTTGCCACAAAGCCTTTAGCTAGGCTGAAGTTGATGCCTGGAATTAGTTTTCAGTGTGGTCCATCTCTGCCACTTCAATGCAACTAACCCACAGAGAGTCAGAAAGCTTCTTTTTATTTGTACAGAGCTGCGGTCATTTTTATAACTGCTTTCTAGCAATCAGCTTTTTATTTGCCTTAAAATAAGCTTTTAAGCAGTTACCTAGTGTTCACTTTACCTGTTTTCACATTTCCCAAGCCTTGTTTCAACCTGTCACATTTAAGTTGCATTTAGAGTGACTTCCAGCTGAAGTAGCTTCTATAAAATGCCTCATCATAACATCTCCTGTGTTGCAGAGGTGCTTTTACAAATGCAGGGTTATGCTAGGTTTCGGTTGTCAGGTTAACTCCTTGTTCACTACAGTTTGCATTTACTGTTGTTACTAAACTTTCCAAGATATACGGCTTTGTATATATGTAACTGCTTTTCATTTTAATCATATTCTGTGTACTGTGTTATATTGTCAATCATTTTGCTGCAGCTTTGACTTGGTATCCTGACCATATTGATTCCAAACAGTGGGTTTCTGCAAATGAAAATTCACTTGCATTGAAAAAACAAATTGTGTCCCATAGAAATCATTAGACCCAGTAATTCCATTGCAGGGCCAAGAAAATTCCTAGATAGTCTTGTGAATAACACTGTGATTTTTAGAACAGTTAATATCCCTCACCACTGCATTAATATTACTTCTCACTGGAAAACAGCATTGTTCTGGCAAATGTGATGAACCATTATTCATGATGCAATGATATTTTTCTGCCTAACTCCATGTGAAACATTCCAGTTGCATATGTGACTAATGACAGATTTTATTTTTCTATATTGGGTACATGTTTTACATACCAAATACAAATTATCATGAATAGCATATAACCAGCTTTTTCTTTGGAGTCTAAATGTGGTGTATCCTTCAGCTTTGTGTAGGGCAAATGCTGTGTGGAAGACAGATCAAGCTTAGTCTGGCAGGTAAAGGGAGATAGAATAGAAATCTGGGCACAGGCCAGGATGTGTGGCTGTTTCGAGTTCTGACATCAATTTACTGTATAAAACCAGACAGGGCACTTCACTGTTTGGTGCCCCAATTACCCCGTCTCATACTGAGCTAATGACTTCTGATAAAATGCTGTCAGACGAATGAATGAAAGATTCTGGTTACTCCATGACTCCTTACTATATCTGGCCCTTTCACGGTCATGTTTTATGTGGATGCACATGCATTTTACTGCAGATGATATCTAATTTGCCTTATGGTAGAATTGGTAGCTGTTAGTATTATTTCCTACATTTTGTATTTCACCAGTGTCTCCCACACACCATCATATGAAGACAGCTAAGTCACTGATGCAACTTGAAATTTTTCTCAAGCAAAGCTCTTTAATATTCTCTTTGTTGTCTGATAAGCAGCATATTCTGATACGACAGAAACAGGAGAGATACAGCAGACATGCTGTGTACAGCTGGTGAAAATCTGTGCAGTGTCGCCTCAAGTCCTGTGTGCAGTTTTGGGCATGAGAATATAAAAATTACATTAAGCTATTGGGGAGCATCCAAAGGAGGGCCAGGAGGATGGTGAAGGGTCTGGAGAGGAAGCTTTGTGAGGAGCAGCTGAGTCTGTTCAGCCTGGAGGAAACTGAGTGGAGACCTCATTGCACATCCTCACAACAGGAAACAGCGGGGTATGGATCTCTTCACTCTGGTGCCCAGGGACAGGACCCAAGGGAACAGCCTGAAGCTGAATCAGGGGAGGTTTAGGTTGGCTATCAGGAAAAGCTTAACCACTCAGAGGGTGGTTGGGCACTGGAACAGGCTCCCCAGGGAAGTGGTCACTGCTCCAAGCCTGTTCAAATGATGTTTGGACAACGCTGTCAGGTACACGATGTGACTATGGGGGATGGTGCTGTGCAGGACCAGGAGTCGAACTCAATGGGTCCCCTTTTGTAGCTCAGTATGGTTGTAAAAAAAAAAAAAAAAAAGAAAAAAAAATTAAAATTAAGTGGTTTTTAATAATTATTATTTTTGTCTTGTTCCTCTCTGAGGCCTACATGGTGACTATTAGTAAGCAGAAGTTGGAAAGAGTATTGAGACTTCCTGGGATTCCTAACAGGGACCAGAACAGAGTAGAAGTTAAGTGGACAGCAGTTACATTGGAGCAAGGGAAAAATCCAAGCTGACTATAGCAATAAAAAAGGAAACAAATTTCCTTGTGTTGCAGGGAAGACAAGTCATGTAATAAAGCTCTCCCATATTAATCACTTCCCCCTCTCTTAATAACAGAAGGAGAATTATGGGAACAAGATGAACCTGTTTGCCAAACTCTCTTTGTAAATCCATTCTTTTTAAGTGATTATGTGACCCAGGGAAACCAAATCACACCCATCAGGACTGGAGTGAGCAGTTTGAGATTTATGAGTTTTAATATTTGTTTTGTTTTCTTTTATAGACTGTGCTTTGTAATCTTACTTGAATTACAATTCTAGTTTATGTTCTAGTAAAAAAAAAAAAAGCCTTAAGCTTCTCAGTGTTTGAGCTTCCCTGCTGTGGTTTCAGTGACCTGTGGCATTCCCCAAGCAGGTGAGGTGGTGCATTGCAAGAGCCATAACCTCTTGCATCTTCTTGCAACCTTCAGTGCTCTAAGCAAAAGTTCACTCATTAACTCTTGGAAAGCACAGAAGAAACCTGCTGCTGGAATCCTCCTCTGCTCTGCTCAGGCTCATCTTGTTAAGTATCTATCTATTGTATCTTAGTAACTCAAACAGCTATTTAACCATAGAAGCAGCAAGCCCAAAATATTACCAAATGCCATCATAATCATATGCTTTGATCAATAACCTGCTATTGCTGCCCAGGTGGCAATTCCCTGTGCTCTTCTATGAGCCTGGCTGTGGATGCAGACTGGGAGCATGATCAGAAGCATTAAACATTGCATTATTCAAATAGGTCATCATGTCTAAGAGCAGCAATAGTGGTCGATTCACCAAGTCATAGCTGTGCAGTTGTACTGTATTATTTTTAGAATAAATAATACTTTCAGTCCAAGATACTTTTAGCATTAATTGACACCCTTTGGGGAATCAAAACTGTCAAGCAAGTTATGTAACAACTAACAAAGTTGCACTTTCTGTATATGAAATCAATATTTAAATAACTTATTTTTCTCCATTTGCTGTTCTTAAATGATGTAAGTAGCTGTAATATACCAGTACTCAATATGTCCTGCAGTTTGCTTCAACCCAAGAAAGCTGTGTATTGTAAAGAAAAAGGAAAAAACAAAAACAAAAAAAAAACCAAAAAATATGAATGTGTAAAGATTATTGTGCTGTTTCATTTAGCAAAAAAAAAAAAAAAAAAGGTTGACAAAAGGGTTTTCCTGTGTATCAAAACTTGTCTATAATTATGTCATATTGTTCATAGATAAAAAGTAAATAAATTTCCATGGTCTCTCTCTTTTTTTTCTTTTTTTTTTTTTTCTCTTTTTTTTTTTGTTGTTGTTTTTAATTTTGCTCTCTTTTAGTGCTTGGGTAGTGGTGTCCAATGATGTATTTTTTTTTGCTTATTCCTTTGGCCCTCACCCTGTAGCTTACCAAGGCTCTAGTTCCTCTCCTTGTAAGCACTCTCAACACATCTACAGCAGGAGGAAAAAGTTTTTAAAAATTTAAAATATTAAAAGCCCTGATAATTCAGGATTAGAAGCAGCTGTTAAATTATATTATGTGAATCAGCACTGTCCAAACTTTGTCTGTTTCATCCCGTGAAGGTCCAGCTGCTGGGCCCAGTGAGATATGTGTGAGAGGCCTCCCAGGTCTCCCCTTGGGAGCTTTACCACATTACAGTGGAATAATTCATAATTGGTGAACCCAGAGGAAGGGCCCATGAGTACAATGCTGTGGAGTTGTAGTTACAGCTCTCGCCTGCAAGAAGGGATTTCAAGCCTGCTTCACAAATGAAGCTCTGCGTGCTGTGACTCCTGAGCAATCAGGTAATGTCTCCAGTCTGGAATAAGATGCCAATGCCCAGGGTTTGGGGCAGAGGACGTGACTCTTGGCATTTTCTTCCAGCTCACTTGAGTAACTTCTTGCTGACTATTTTGCATTTGTTGATCTGGGTAAATTTGCTGTGTAATTAATGGGTGTGCTTAGCTGCCCAACAGCGCGCTGCCAGCTCCTCGTGGCAACAGTTTGAAGTTAATCCTATGTGGATTTAGCCCCAAGGAACGAGGGGGGCCTGTGTCTGCACGGGTTGTCGTTAACCGGAAGCTGAACTCAGGAAACGACACACAGAGGAAAACAAAAGAATCTTTTGGGCTGGATGCAGACAGCTGAATCCTCGTCCCGCCCGGGCAGCGCTCCCCGCGGAGCTGCGGGACGCGGCGGGCACCCGGCAGCCATGAGGGGCTGAGGGCTCTGCGCTCCCCGAGGGCTCTGCGCTCCCTGAGGCTCTGCGCTCCCCGAGGGCTCTGCGCTCCTTGAGGGCTCTGCGCTCCCCGAGGGCTCTGCGCTCCCTGAGAGGCTCTGCGCTCCCTGTGAGGCTCTGCGTGGCCCCGAGGGTTCTGCGCTCCCTGAGAGGCTCTGCGCGGCCCCGAGGGCTCTGCGCGGGCGGCAGAGGGCGCCGCGCCGCCGGGACCCGCCGTTTCCAGGGGTCTCTCAAGTAACAAAACAGAAATAAAAACAAAACAAACGCCGCACAACATGAAAAGCCAGGGCGCTTGCCATTTCTGCAGCTGGAAGGAGTATTGCTTCCCTTCCAAGATTGCTGTGGTCCAGGATCGCGTTGGGAGCAGCTGAAACACAAAGCCCCCATCTATGGCTCTCAGCGTTTTGCTGCTGTGTGTGATCCAAACGTGTGCTAACCACAGTAGCTGCTGCCAAAGCCAAACACCACCACTCCCCAACACATACATACCTATCCTTATTCTAAAAGTTCTCTTTCCCCATGTGTTTGCACCAGAAAACGAGATGTGGGAGAAACATGCTAAAAATTCTTGCTGCTAATACTTCCATAAAGAAACTTTATGCCTGAGCAGAGGTTTCATGTGTAAGCCCACAGAGACTTAAAAGCCATGAATGTAATGTGCCATGTACCACCAGAGCTGCCTCAGGAGTACACTAAAGGATGATCCTTTAACATTCAGGAAGCAGTAGAAAACAAATGGTGTGACTCTCTTGGGGATGGCACTGTGCAGGGACAGGAGTTTGACTCAATGATCCTTGTGCGTCCCTTCCAACTCAGCATAGTCTGTGATTCTGTGATTCTTACTAGTTCTTAGCCTTGCTCTTTTTCAGGCACTGTGGTCTTTCACAGCACGAAAGGGCATCATTATTTGTTTCCTTCAATTGTGAAGTCTATGCTGAGCTTGTGCCTGCAGGTATACTGGTACTGTTCAAGTCCTGACCCCAAAGCTCTGACATTACTGATATTCTGTCATTTCCAGTGGGCTTGGGCCTCTCTCCAAGCAGAAGAATTTTTGCACATGTAAATGGATTTACTAATATTCTACACCAAAAGACCCCAAGCCCTCTTTAAAAACTTTTAATGACATTTATTGAAGTAGTATTCTTACAAAAATAGTCAGATGAGAACAAAGCCATAGGTCTTATTTCAAAGAAATACTGTTTCTTTGCCTGCTGCAGTTGAAGTCCATGGAAAATATAGGTGCCTATGGTCAAACAGAAAGATACTTGGTGGGATTAGCTTCTTCCAAGACTAGACAAGTATGAGTGGGAGATAAAGGTAAATTGGAATTACAGTTTCATTATTAAATTACAGGTTCTGGACTTGACTCTCCCAAGGTGTATCCTTTCCCTTTGCACCCCTGATAAGTTCTACATTCCTTATGTTACTATGCATATGCTTTTCTGAAATTCCCACAAGTTGCGTTTTTTTCATTTTGCCACAAATTACATACAGAGATTTGCAAGTTTGTGACAACAAGGCTGGTGTTTATGTCCACAAATCTTGTCTTAAGGGGACACCCTTGTGAATTAGACTATCAATCTACTGCTTTTTTTTTTCTTTTTTTTTTGCTCTTTGGCTCCACTGACTCCTATAGTAATGAATATGTACTCACTGGTACTAAAAATGGAAGTTACAATTTTTATTTTCTTTTTTATGTTTTACTGAAGCATGACTAAGCTGTTAGCTAATACTAGCACTCACTTAAATTTCTGATTTAAGTGGCTCCATTTGCTCTTAGCCAAACAAAAAAAAAAAAACCCACCACCATTTCTCTGCCTCAAAGAATGGAACTGGATTGCCTCTCTAGCAAGTTCAGTGTTGATTAAAAATCCCATGCAGTGCTACCTCAACCCTGTGCTGAGCTCTTCCTTACATCACTAGCAGTGTGACAGTAGCTTGCCTTCCATTCTGTTATCCTGAGTCCCCACTGGAATGAGCTTGGTAGTGAGAGCTAAGGTTAGTTCAATTTCCAGGTGTGTTCAGGTCCTAGCAATCCTACAAAGCCAAAGGAAAAAAATTTGCAATCCTGCCAACCACCTACTATATCCTGAGATGGGAGCAATTTTATAGCTGGCATTAGCTATCTGAAACCAGGATTAGTGACACTTCTGAGCACACTGAGACTACAGGCAAACACCACATACCTTTTTGTTTTCTTTTAGCAGCACTGAATTGCCTGCCATCCAGAGGAGCTGCTGAGCAGCTCACATTTGCTGATAGTGAGAAGCAGGATTGCCCCCCTTGTGCCTCCCACTGTGATCAGATCTGCTGCTGTTACAGAGCAGCTCAGGCTGCACTTCCTTATGAACATCGAAGAATGAGCATCATAGAAGCAGTGAATGTGTTTTGGATTTGGAGCAGTGCAATTTCTGAAGAGCAGAAGAATGGCTTAGATCAATTCAATTACACAAAAATATGCTTATGTGCTTAATAAAGTCATCTAATGAAATGAGAGGTGAGAGGCTCTCTCAATTCATTAAACCATTTCCTTTTGAAAGAAACTTTTTTTTTTTTTATTTAGAGCCTTGGAACCAACTGCTGCCTTCTCAGTTTTTTTCTTCTTAGCCTGATGACAAAGTAAGGAAAGGTTTCAGGCTGCTTTCTAACACACATGTGAGCCTGAGTCAAAAATTTGCTTTTTGGCCCATAGGAAGCCTCTGGAAGGCATTCAAAAACTTGTTTTATTTTTTCTTTTGTGTCTATTTTAGCAATTCCATCAGTTGTATTTTGATTCAGGAATATTGGAGGCTCCCACCTGAGTCCGTGAATATTCATGGAAATTCACATCACAAGCAATGGCCCAAGGTTCCACACAATGCCTGTCTGTGTGTAGATATGTCTCCCCCTAAGCTGACATGTGTCTGCAACACAGTGTTTAACCTTGCAGGCAAAGCTTCAGAGTTGTTTCATACCCAGGAACACATGCACAAATTTCTCTATGCTTATCTGCATACACAGTAGAGCAAGATTTAGCCTCACTCCTTGCATCCTTGTGGGCTGCATCCTCCTGCCTTCTCTGTGCTGTTACATGTTTGGCCTCTGAGAAGACCAAAGCCAAGGTTTTGTCAAGTTCTGGTCATTGTCTGGTGCTCACTTAGGAGTGTGCACAAGCAAAAGTGACTCATGATGCCTTGTGCAAGCAGCCCAAGAGGTATAAGTGGCCTGGGGAAAACACAGTTAACAAGACACTGATCTGGTGAATACCTCCATAGGGCCTCACAAAGATCCCAGGTTCATCATGGAAAGGGAGGCAGGAAAACAAACCAGTGAGTGGAGACCCTTCATGCTGGTGACTATTTCTGCTCCTTTTTTCAGGCATATCTACTTGGCTGAAAACTTTCATAAAGTTCTGTGAATTCAAGATGTTACTTGGAGAAGAGAAACTCAATTCAATCAGGTAATTGAGAGAGCATCCATAGCAGATGCACTCTTTAATTCTGAAAAATACTGCTTTTACTGGGAGCACTGAGTCCTGAAGCACAAGCAGTGAAAGGCCCAGGAAAGCAGGAAGCTTTGGTGGCTAATAGTGAAATCCTACAGATGTTGTCTTCTTGATTTAAGTGCAGTAAACCTATATAAATCCTATTTAGAGAAAACTGCAAAGATCTGTCAGGTTGCACCCTGAAGCTTGTGTAAGGTTCTCACAGTGCCAGAGTAGGAAACATTTGATTTCTCTTGCTTGTTTTCACTTATTTCCAGTATCAGCCCCAAAGGGTTCCTTACCTCTGTTTAATCCTGTGTGTGCTGTGGGAATAACATTTACAGGCTGTGCCTGTCTTCTTCCTTCATGCCCTCCCAAGGTGTGCCTGAACTGCCGGAGCATGGCAGTCCCTCCAAGCAGCCAAAGAGAAAATCCATCTCTCTAGCATTCCTGGCATGTGTTTGCTCTGGCTGCATTAAGGGCACAGGAGAAAGGAAAAGGGATCAGCCAGCTCATGGAACAGCTGAGGTAGTAGTGAGGCTTACTGGGAGAGACAGG